TTGCATGGGTGGAGCCAACTTCGTGGTCGGATGTGCGGGAAGTGCATCCAACTTGCAGCTGTGGCCAACGCTAACTTGGGCAAGCTGGTCGATGGGTTGGTCGACCTGCATGGGGTTACTACAACGTCACCGACTATGGGACGTCGGCGGTTAGCTTCAACCTGGTGGTCAACGACGGGAGACGCGACCTGAGAAAGGCGCCGACCTTGGGAGGGCGCTGACTCCGAGAGGTCGACCTGGCGAGGTCAACTTGGGAGGGTGACGACTTGGTGACGCCGACCTGGGGTAGCCGATTTGGTGTGGTCGGCTGACTGTTGGGCTGGTCAACCAAAAGTTTGTCGACCGGAGATGTGGTCGACTTGGTGTGGTCGATCGATGGTGGTCGATGGGTAGGAGAAGCAACTGGTCGACGTGGTTGCCCAGTCGACCAAGCACGTGGATTACTTGGTGCCTGTGCTGTGCAGGTGGTGATGCAAAGCACGCCAACCAACTGCGAGCACCTTCGAAGTGGGTGCATTGCTGTTCTACGGGTGCAACGCTATGCAGCCACCTTGCTGCAGCGTTGGCACACCGTCGACTTGCAGTGTTGGCAAACTGCGACTTAGCACTGGTGGAGCACGGTTGACAATGCTGTGCTGGAACGCGATCGATCGTGCTGCGTCGGCAGCCGACCTGCATGCTTGCTAGCGTCTGATATAGACTCGCTTCTCAACCTTGTGACCATTGTTGTCAATCTTTGCTACTGAAACTCTTGCTAGTTTCTCCGTGGATGAGCAAGTAGAGAACACACAAGCAAACGACTAAGGAACACAAAGATCAACCTCTCAACCATGCCTATCTCATAGACTAGCTCCCGTTGTACGAGTTATCTCCACTCAGCGCACACGCCAAGTCAACCATGTGCCTCTGATTGCGCGTGATCAGCCACGTCGACCTCGCGATACCAATCCGAGGTCGCCTTTGCCAGAACAGCTTGGGCGACGGTTGCACACCTCCGCAGTTTCCCATCGCCTTGGTAACTTGGTCGACCAGGCAACCAAGTCGACCAGGTGTTGCTCCTCGTTCTCGTCGACTGTCAAAGTCGACGACCACCTTCTGCCGACTTCACGAAGTCGGCCACTCCCCTAGGTCAACCACTTCTGGTTGACCAGGCCTGCTGGTCGATGAGTGCACCCAGCCAGCTTCCCTGAGTTGGTGTCACCAAGTCGACGCCCTCCCAGCTTGACCTCCCAAGTCAACCTCCTAAAGTCGGCGCTCTCCCGAGTCGGCGCCCCTCCTAGGTCGACGTCTCCCCTCGTCGACCACCGGGTTGAAGTCGGCCGTTGGCTCCCTGTTGTCAGCGGCGTGGTAGTGGCCCCGTGCAGGTCGACCAAGCCTGTCGACCTGCGCGCCCTAGTCGGCGTCACCCATTGCAGCTGGTCGGCGCGCTCCCCACAACGAAGTCGGCTCCACGCAAGCGAGGACGGGGCCAACACTCAACTCTCATTGAGAAGAACGGATGTCGTACTCTCACATACAGTATGCGCTGGTGAAATCGTATCAACAGTGAGGTTGATGGCAAAACCCAAATATGATGCGCCCATAAAACCTTCAACAGCGAACCCTATTAAATGCCCCATGATTCGTGACGAAGGAGTTTCAAGTACTCGAGTTGTTTTTTTTGTCGCCACAAAAGAAAAATATGGAGATGTTTGGGAGTATTTAATGTGGCAAAATAAATTATCGCCGAAAGTAGAGTTGGATGTCTTACATCCTAAAATCCTCTGGCCATGCAATAAGGGGTGTTACAAAAAGTTTTTGACGAATATTGCTGGTGGCAAAGTCAATTATTGAGAGTTGGTGATCGTCGTAGAAGTAATTGTATCAAATGTGACTCGTGTAAATGTTTCCGAACACATTATTAATGTTAGATGACGCCGACGTACTCTGCGGTTTTGTCGAGACTCGCTGAACCTTTTGTCGGGGGGGATGAAAATACTCTTATCCCCCCCCTTTGCTCTATTGCACTTGCTTCCCTCGAATTTGTACATTGATGTCGTGCTTACACCTAAAATCTCCACAAATATTATGTTATGTTCTTACCATGTCGGTGTTGCGCGCTTTTAACCATGTTATTTGTTGGCGTTCCTCGTCGTAAACCCATAAGTCCTCACCTAAGTCAATGGGAGTTGTTTTTGGCCCCGTTCTTGCTTGGGCGGAGCCGACCTCGTGGTTAGGTGTGCGGGAGGTGCAGCCGACCTGCAACAGACGGCGCACTGGTCGAGAGGGTTGGCCGACCTGCACGGGGGCCAATGCATGGGCGCCGACTACGGGAGGTCGACTTGGGAGGTCGACTTATGGAGGGCGCCGACTTGGTGATGCCGACTTGGGGAAGCCGACTTGGGTGGTCGGCTGACAGGTGTGCTGATCGACCTGGGCCTGGTCGACGAGTGCGGTCGACTGGGGGCTGGTCGATTGGGTGTGCGGTCAACTTGGTGTGGTCGACCAGTGATGGTCGTCGACCTGAGTGGTCGATGAGCACAAGGAGAAGCTGGTCGACGTGGTAGTTACCGGGTTCACCAGGTTACCCGGGTGATGGAGTTGTATAGAGAACTGCAACGGTCGCCCTGGTGGTTCTGGCGAGCCCGACCTCAGTGGTGGTATCCTGAGGTCGACATGGAGGATCAGGTGCCGGCATCAACACGAGGGTGAGCTGGTGTGAACACTGTGCAGGTGACAAGACACAGCCCTCCAATCATATGCGAGTACCTATGAAGCGGGTGCGCTGCTGTCCGACAGGTCCAACGCTGTGCAGCTGCCTTGTTGTAGCATTGGCACGCCGTCCACTTGTAGTGCTGGTAGGCGGTGTCCTTGAGCTGCAAGAGCGCGGTCGACCAAGCCATACTGGGGCACGGTCGACCGTGCTGTGCTGGCAGTCGACCGACTTGCATGCTAGCATCTGATGTAGTCGTTGTTGCCTTGCCATTGTGTACCATCGATGTCAACATTTCCTAGTGAAACTCTTGCCAATTTCCCCCGTGAAGTAGCAAGCAGTAAGAGCATAAGGAAACTAAAGGAATGAACTCAAAGATCCCTCCCACCCCGTGCCTAGCCCGTAGTCTAGCTCCCGTTGATTGATTTTTTTTCTGCAACCTAAATGTGGGAGCTAAAAACATATTTTTTGAAAATTTTGGTCGTATTATAGTCGCTCACTCATTCACGAGCTGTTCCCATCAGCTCACCAGACTCCAGCATCTAGGTATAGTTTGGAACCAAATATAATATTTTTTGCTTATTTTGAGACAGAAATTCATGGAACCACGTGCGCATCAATGCCCCTAATACTCTTGCCGAACTTCCATTGTCGATCTTGTCGTCGTCGCCGTTGTCCTTGTTATTGCGGAAATAACTAATTCAATGAGACCTAGACTGCAGACTAGGCACGGGGTAGGAGTGATCTCTGTGTTTGTTCCTTAGTCGTTTTCTTATGCTCTTGCTACTTGCCAGTTCAAGGGGAGAAATGTCAGGAGTTTCACTATCAAAACATGACAACAATGGTACAATGAAGTTGGCAAGTAAGACTTCATCAGATGCTAGTATGCAAGCAAGACAACTGCAAGCACAACATGGTCGACCACATTCCTGTCAGACTTATATGACTTAGCCAGTGTAGGCTATAGTGGGGTAGCTCATATGGGGTACAACACTTCTAGGTTTTCCTACTTGTACCCACCTTTTTCCTAGTTCCCTCATTCCTCATTCTTCACATGGTATAGAGCACGTTCACTCGTGGGAACGCTTCTCAGGGCCCACCACTGAACTCAATCTTTTCTTCCTGCCCGAGGCGCGCCCCGTAGGCCACCCTCACGTCGCGCCCTCCTAGAGGCCCCTCGCGCCACCCTTACGGCCCCATCGCCGTCCTTTGCAGCCCCGTCGCCGCCCCTCTAGGCCCCTCACGGCCACTTCACGGCCCCGTCGCCGCCCCTCTAGGCCCCGTCGCTGCCCCTCTAGGCCCCGTCGCCGCCCCTCTAGGCCCCTTGCAGCCCCTTCGCGGCCCCGTCACCGCCCCTATCGGCCCCGTCGACACCTCTCTAGGCCCCTCGCGGCCCCTTCACGGCCGCGTTGCCGCCCCTAACGGCCCCGTCGCCGCCCCTATCAGCCCCATCGCCACACCTCGCGGCCACGTCGCCGCTCTTCGCGGCCCCGTCGCCGCCTCTAGCGGCCCCTTTGCCGCCCTTCGCGGCCACGTCGCCGCCTCTACCGGCCCCGTCGCCGCCACTACCGGCCCCTTCACCGCTGAGCCGCCAAGCAGCTAAGCCGCCGAGCCGCCAAGCCGCCCAGCAGCCGAGCCGCTCAGCAGCTGAGCCGCCCAACAGCCGAGCCGCCCAGCAGCCGAGCCGCCGAGCCGCCCGGCAAACGAGCCGCCGAGCCGTTCGGCAACCGAGCCGCCGAGCCGCCCTGCCGTCGAGCCGCTACTGTTCCTATCGGTGCGCCCCGGCCCTACTTACTCAGACTGGTGAGATCACTCCCTACTAGACCACTGCTGTCATGGCTACCCCTAGTGTCCTTACCTTTGATGCTGAGGGTCGTGCTGTTGACTTTGAGGTCTGGGTCGATGACCTCCAGCTGTTCCTACAGTGCGATAGGGCAGGCGGACTCTCTCTGTTCGATCTCACCTCTGGTGCCTCTCCTGCCCCGCCGACTACTACTGACAGCAGTGTTCGCTCACAGTGGGCCACATGCGATGCTACTGCCCGTCTTGCTCTGCGTCGCCACTTATCGACCACTGAGCGTGCACACTTTAGTCAGTACAAGAGTGCTCAGACCTTGTAGGACGCTGTAGTTGCACACTACTCTTCCCCTGCCACAGCTGCTCAAAACCGCCTCATGCTGCCGTACCTGTTCCCTGACCTAGCTGCCTTTCCCATAGTAGCTGGCCTAATCACGCACCTTTGCACTAGTGACACTAACTACCACGCTGTGCTTCGTGCTGAACTCTGTGCCAAGAAACCCCCCCCCCCATGTACATCACCCTCTACTACATAGTCATCCGGCTCCCTGACTGCCTTCGCTTAGTCAGGGACCACTTCCTCTCAGTTTGCCCCACCACACTCACCGTTGACCTCCTCGAGGAACGCCTCCTAGCAGTAGAGAAGAGCATAGTCGATGTAGAAGCCTCTCGTGGTGACCCTCCCACCCTTGTCTTTGAGGGGTGTTCCCCCTCCCCCCTCTTGCCCTGTGTTGCTTCTGCTGCTGCGGCCGACCTCGTTGGTTTCGAGTCGGTCGGCGCTGCGTCTGCCCCTAGTGGGAGACGCCGCACCGGCAAGGGCAAGGGGGGCAAGGGCACTAGAGGGGCTGGCGGGGGTGATGAAGGTGGTGGTGGAGGCAGTGGAGGGGGTGGGGGTGGAGTGGGAGTGGTGGCGGGGGTGGAGGTGTCAGTGGCAGCAGTGGAGGCGGAGGAGGCGGCGGCGGTGGCGGAGGGAGCGGAGGCAGCGGAGGTGGCGGAGGCGGCGGAGGAGGCAGAGGAGGCGGCGGCAGCGGTCGAGCTGGTCGCGGCTTTGCGCAAAGGAGTGGGTCCGGTGGTGGTCCGCGCCAGCAGAAGTAGCGCAGTCGTGAGACACTATCCCCCCAGTAGCTACGTAAGTGGTACGCTGGGCGTCAGCGAGGTGGGGGTACTGGACCCTGCACCTACGTCCTCCGTACCGGCGACTGCGCTGGTGAGCAATGCGGGGGCCCGCACTCCACCCAGCGCTGCTTCGGCCGCCTGACAAACGTGTGGCGTCACCAATTCTCTGACGCCTCTGAGATCCCTTGCGGGGGAGAGCTATCTAGGGCGGGGGTTGCTATCTTTGATCTTGATTATGATGCTATTCTTGCTGCCATGTATGCTGTGTCTAATAGTGATGAGGGTGACTGTTACCTGTGTGTTCCGCCTGACCCGGGCATTGAGGCTGCTGCTCTAGGTGCTGGTGTGGCTGCTGCTCTAGATGCTAAAGCGTCTGCTGCCCCAGGTGCTAGTGATTCTGCCCTCTCAGGTACCACGTCGGCTCATGCCCTACACATCTTCACCCTTGACTCGGGTGCTTCCCGCTCCTTCTTTCGAGACCGCACCACTCTTACGCCACTTAGTCGGCCGGTTGCAGTCTCCCTGGCGGACCCCTGTCAGGGTCCTGTCCTTGCTAGCTTCTCCATTGTCTTACCGTATCCGGCAGCCCCCTCTGGCACCCTGTCAGGTCTCTACCTCCCCTCGTTCTCTACAAACTTGGTGAGTGGAGCTGATCTACAGGATAAGGGGGGTTGACCAGTTCACTGTTGCGAGTCAGCGGGTGACCCACTGCACGTGTGCTCGGAAGGGCCGACACTTGGCCACGTTTACCCGTCGGCCTGGGTCGAGCCTGTACACACTGACTACTGAGTCTCCTCCGGTTGCTGAGTCTGTCATAACATTATAGCTTATGCTGTTGTGTAGGCTATAGTGGGGTATCCCATAGGGAGTACAACACAATTAGGGTTGGTACTTGTACTCACACATTTCATAGTTCATTCATTTGTGTTCTTTTGTTTCACATGGAATCAGAGCAGGTTCCCTCCTAGGGACTGCTACTAGGGCCCACCGAAGCGCGCCCCGAGGCGAGCCTTCCCTTTTTTTTTCCGCGACCCTCCGTGTCGCCTCTAGCGGCCCATTGAGCCGCCCTTGCCTACGCGGCCTCGCCGCCCTGCACTTCGCGGCCCCGCCGCCTTGCACTTCGCGGCCCTGCCGCCCTTCCGTCGCGGCCTCGCCGCCCTGCACGTCGCGGCCCCGCCGCCCTTCCTTAGCGGCCCCGCCGCCCTCCACTACGCGGCCCCGCCGCCCTTCACTCGTGGCCCCGCCGCCCTTCCTTCGCGGCCCCGCCGCCCTTCCTTCGCCGCCCCGCCGCCCTTCCTTAGCGGCCCCGCCGCCCTGCACTACGCGGCCCCGCCGCCCTTCACTCGCGGCCCGGCCGCCCTGCACGTCGCGGCCTCGCCGCCCTGCACGTCGCGGCCCCGCCGCCCTTCCTTAGCGGCCCCGCCGCCCTGCACTCCGCGGCCCCGCCCTGCACGGCACGACCCCGCCGCCCTCCACGTTGCGGCCCCACCGCCCTTCCTTAGCGGCCCCGCCGCCCTTCCTTCACGACCCCACCGCCTTGCACGTCGCGGCCCCGCCGCCCTGCACTTCGCGGCCTCGCCGCCCTTCAGTCGCGGCCCCACCGCCCTGCCTTCGCGGCCCCGCCGCATTGCACGTTGCGGCCCCGCCGCCCTGCACTTCGCGGCCTCGCCGCCCTTCAGTCGCGGCCCCGCCACCCTTCCTTCGCGGCCCCGCCGCCCTGCACGTCCCGGCCCCGCCGCCCTTCTACCGCGGCCCTGCCGCCCTGCACTTAGCGGCCCCGCCGCCCTGCCCTTTGCGGCCCCGCCGCCCTGCACTTAGCGGCCCCGCCGCCCTGCACTTACCGGCCCCGCCGCCCTCGGCTCCTCGCCAACTGCATCGTGCACCCGAGCCGCCGACCGCCGCACCGCCGAGTACCGGGAGGGCCGAGCCGCCCTGCAGCTGCACAGCCAAGCCGCCCAGCAGCCGAGCCGCTGGGCAGCCCAGCAGCCGAGCCGCCGAGCCGCCGAGCCGCCCAGCAGCCGAGCCGCCGAGCCGCCCCGCAGCCGAGCCGCCGAGCCACCCCGCAGCCAAGCCGCCGAGCCGCCCAGCAGCCGAGCCGCCAAGCCGCCCAGCAGCCGAGCCGCCGAGCCGCCCGGCAGCAGAGCAGCCGAGCCGCCGAGCCGCCCCGCAGCCGAGCCGCCGAGTCGCCCAGCAGGTGAGCAGCAGAGCCGCCCTTCTGCCGAGCCGCCTGTCCTGCCCCGTCTGGTGAGCACGCCCCACTGCTACTGCGTGCCTTGCCCCCCCCCCCCCCCCCCCCCACTGCTTGCACTGCTAGTCTGTCGTCATGGCTACCCCTAGTGTCCTCGCTTTTGACGCTGAGAGTCGAGCCATTGACTTTGAGGTCTGGGTCCACGACCTCCAGTTGTTTTTACAGTGCGATAGGGCGGACGGTCTTTCTCTCTTTGACCTCACCTGTGGCGCCTCTCCTGCTCCTGCTGCTTATGCTGACCCCACTGTTCGCTCTCAGTGGGCCACCCGCGATGCTGCTGCACGTCTTGCTGTGCGTCGCCACCTCCCTACCACTGAGTGCGCGCACTTTAGTCAGTACAAGAGTGCTCAGACCTTGTACGACGCTGTAGTTTCGCGCTACTCTTCCCCTGCCACTGCTGCACTGAGCTGCCTCATGCTACCGTACCTCTTTCCTGACCTTGCTGCCTTTCCCACAGTCGCTGACCTCATTACGCACCTCCGCACTAGTGACACCCGCTACCACGCCGCCCTTCCTGCTGAGTTCTGCGCCAAGAACCCCCCACCCCATGTACATCGCTCTCTACTACATAGTCACTCGCCTCCCTGACTCCCTTCGCGTAGTCAGGGACCACTTCCTCTTAGTCTGTCCCACCACTCTCACTGTTGACCTCCTCGAGAAGGCCCTCCTAACGGCAGAGAAGAGCATAGTCGCTGTAGGAGCCTCTCGTGGTGACCCGCGCACCCCCATCTTTGAGGGGTGTTCTCCTCCCCCCCTGCTGCCCTCTGTTGCCTTTGCTGCTGCTGCCGACCTGCTTGGTCTTGAGTCGGTCGGCGCAGCGTCTGCCCCTAGCGGGAGACGCCGCCCTGGCAAGGGCAAGGGGGGCAAGGGCGCGGGTGGAGCTAGCAGGGGCGGTGGAGGTGGCGGTGGAGGCGGCGGAGGGAGTGGGGGTGGCAGTGGGAGTGGTGGCGGGAGTGGTGGCGGTGGTGGCGGCAGCGGCGGCGGAGGCGGTGGCGGCGGAGGCGGTGGGAGCGGAGGCGGTGGTGGTGGCGGAGGTGGAGGCGGTGGTGGCGGAGGAGGTGGAGCTGGTCGGGGTAGTGCCCCGCAGCGGAGCGGCTCTGGTGGTGGTTCGCGGCAGTAGCAGCAGCAGCAGCAGCGTTCTCGGGACGTCCCCTCGCCTCAGCAGCTCCGTGAGTGGTACACGCAGAGTCAGCGTGGTGGAGGTTTTGGCCCGTGCACCTACGTTCTTCGCAGCGGCGACCGCGCGGGTGAGCAGTGTGGGGGTGCCCACTCCACCCAGGCGCTGCTTTCGCCGCCTCACGGACGCTTGGCGTCAGCAGTTCCCTGACGCTTCTGAGATCCCCGCTGGGGAGAGCTGTCTAGAACTGGAGTAGCGATCTTTGATCTTGACTTTGATGCTATCCTTGCTGCCATGTATCCTGTGTTTTTTAGTGCTGAGGGTGACTGTTACCGGTGTTTCCCGCCCGACCCGGGCATTGGTGCGGTTGCGCTAGGTGCTTGTGAGACTGCGCTCTCAGGTGCTGGTGAGGCTGCGCGCTTAGGTACTGGTGAGGCTGCGCTCTAAGGTACCGCGTCGGCTATGGCCTCCCTCACCTTTACACTTGACTCTGGAGCTTGTCGCTCCTTTCGGGACCGCACCACACTCACGCCGCTTGGCCGGCCGGTTGCAGTCTCCCTGGCTGACCCCTCTGGAGGTCCTGTCCTCTCTCACTTCTCTACTGTCCTCCCGTGTCCAGCTGCCCCCTCGGGCACCCTGTTTGGTCTGTACCTCCCCTCGTTCTCGACGAACTTGGTGAGTGGTGCTGCCCAATAGGATGCGGGGGTTCACCGAGTTTACTCCTGCGAGTCAGCGGGTGACCCACTGCACGGACGCACGCACAGGCCGGCACCTGGCCACGTTCTCCCGTAGGCCGGGGTCGAGCCTCTACACCCTGACCACTGAGTCTCCTCCTGTCCCTGTGTCTGGCCAGGTAGCTGCGTCGGGTCAAGTGTTTGCTGCTGCGTCCACGTCTGGCCCTGAGTCTGCCCCCTGCTCGTGTCGTCTCCTGTCTCACGAGACTCTCCTATGGCACCACCGTCTTGGCCACCCCTCCTTGCCTCATCTCAGGGACATGGCTTCCCGTGTCCTTGTCTCTGGTCTTCCCCGGTCTCTCCCTCCCCTTCCTTCGGGGCCAGGACCTTCCGGTGTCCCTTGTGTCGAGGGGCGCCTCCGGGCCGCCCCCCACTCCTCCCAGTTTGTTCCGACAAAGGCTCCTCTGGAGACAATTCACACGGACGTGTGGGGCCCGGCCCGCGTCCGTGGACAGGGTCACGAGCGCTACTTCCTGCTGGTGGTTGACGACTACTCGCGTTTCAACACAATCTTCCCCTTGCGCAGCAAGGGTGATGTCACTGAGGTGTTGATCGACTGGATCCGCGCTGCTCGTCTCCAGCTCAGGAGGAGCTTCGGCTCGGACTTTCCTGTTCTGCGTCTGCACTCTGACGGAGGCGGAGAGTTCTCCTCTGGCCTCCTCCGAGCCTACTGTCGTGCGCGAGGCATCCGCCAGACCTTAACGCTTCCGGACTCTCCGCAGCAAAATGGGATTGCTGAGCGCAGCATTGGCATGGTTCTGGACGTCGCTCGTTCGTTCATGATGCATGCGGCTGCCCCCCATTTTTTGTGGCCGTTTACGGTTCGGTACACGGCGCATCAGATCAACCTTCACCCCGGGGTTTCCCGGCCGGGGAAGGTCCGTACCTCCCCGGCCCTGCTGTGGACTGGGACAGTCGGCGATGCGTCTGCGTTCCGTGTCTGAGGATCTCGGGCGTTAGTCCGCGACTTGTCTGCGGACAAGCTGTCCCCTCGTGTTGCTCCCTGTGTCTTCCTTGGCTTCCCCCCTGACGCTCCAGGGTGGCAGTTCTACCACCCCTCCTCTCGTCGTGTTCTGTCCTCCCAGGACATCACGTTTGACGAGTCGGTCCCCTTCTACCGCCTCTTCCCCTACCACACTCCTTCCCTCCCCCCGCCACCGGACTTCCTTGTGCCAGGTCCCCCTTAGGGTCCTGCCCGTTCAAGTGTGTCCCAGGTAGACGCGGTCGAGCCGGTCGAGGTTCCTGGTGACTCCGGTACTGCTGCGGGTGCTAAGCCTGGGCGTGCTGACTCTGGGGGTGCTGTGCGCGTGGGTGCTGAGCCTGGGGGTGCTGAGTCTGGGGGTGATGAGCCTGGGGGTGCTGAGCCAGGGCCTGGGGGTGCTGAGCCTGGGGGTGCTGAGCCTGGGAGTACTGCGCCTGAGGGTGCTGAGCCTGGGGTTGCTGAGTCTGGGGGTGCTGCGCCAGAGGGTGTTGAGACAGGAGGTGCTGCGTCTGGAGCTGCTGAGCCTGGAGGTGCGGAGCGTGCGGTCGCTGGACCTCCCCTTGTGGCGTCTGGCGGTGCTGGGCCTCGAGGTTC